TTACTTACTTACTTACTTACTGTGCAATATAGGAAAAAACTTTTAAGGGGGATTGGTTTGGTCATGTTTGGTATGTAGAGATAATAACACAGTAGCAGAGAAGTGACAAATAAATTGCTGTAGCTGAAATAGTAGGTAACATAAGTCTGTGTCTGGCACTTTGATAACACTCCTTAAATGAAGCGTGCTCTATTTCAGTGATGATTACTTATATTTTGAAATTGATTTTTTGTGGATTGGAATAGATGATAACTCCACTTATTATCCACCAAAGAAATGCATTTGTGTAACAATTCCCAAAGAGAGTCTAGTTTGCCCAGCAAAGTAGAATTCCATTCTCTGGATGCAGCTCTGCACTTCAACGTCTGTCAGACCATTAGCTATCAATGGACCCCCAGTGAAGCCAGTGGGGCCTGCCCACCAGGCCTGGCTCCAGCCCCGGCAGCATATCGGGGCACCTTCCATCTGTTGCCCTCGTCCTGGATGTGTGTGTGTGTGTGTGTGTGTGCTGGTCTACTCAGCTCCTATCTCTATCATCTGCTGAACTCCAAATCCTCTCTGTTTCCCTCTTATTAGGCCTGAAAAGACGCACCAGATGGCTTGTGGGAAAAAAATCATACTCGTCCAAAAGGGAAAGAGGCACCGCCCACAGCCAGGGTTGAGCTCTGAAAGATTTAAGACATACATGGCATACTTTAAACACACACACACACATACACACACATACATACATACATAAAGACCTCATTGGTTCATGCTTGAATTATATAAACAACTTCATGTCCCTAGAATGGATTGACGACAGCAGCAGATAAATCAGATGATCAGTTCTCAAGATGGATTCTTGATATACTGACCAAACACACACGACCTTGACTCTGTATGTCAGAACAGGCACTGTGTGTGTAATCATGTCCTGTTTGCAAACTGAATAGTCAAGTCAAGTTTATTTATAGTCCTTCTCACAAGCATGTTTCAGAGGATTCATATATCAAACACTTGAGCTCAAATTCACACTGATGCATCATTTGGAGTCTCCAGTACACCTAACCTATGAAAACTTTGCTCAGGACTGTAGCTGAGATTGAATTCCCAGGCCTTTTTTGTTATGTGGCGACAGTCTTAAAAGAAACAGTTTGACATTTTTTGGAACATGCTTATTCACTTAATGGCTGAGAGTTAGATGAGATGGTCAACACCACTGTCATGTGTGCCGGTGCAGTAAATATGAAGGTACAGCCAGCAGCTGGTTAGCTTAGCTTAGCACAAAGACTGGAAACAGGGGGAAACAGCTAGCCTGTTCTCTGCCCGAAGGCTAAAAATCCATCTAACAGCACCTTAAAGCTGTTTGGTTGGTTGGTGCTTGGTATAACTCTCTGAACGCTACCTGGAACCTCAAACAACCCCTTTTTTTCCTGTTTTTCTACACATGATAAAGCCACCTTGAAACACTCATCCTTTCCAGTAAATTGTTCTGTCAAGTGTTTTTTGATTCAGCAACTCAAGTCATGAGAGTCCAAGGACTGAAGCTCGAAATACCCTATAACACTTTGCAGCGAAATATAACACGCAGTCGCTAGATCATCTGACGGCTTTTCTTCAGGTTATTCAGGCTTAGAAGCACGCATACACCATCACATTAGTGGCTGCGCTCTTCACAGCAATTTAGTGATTTCAATTCCCTCTTGGCTGCTACCCGCTCTTCTTCATCATACTGTAAGGGCAAAATGAAAAGTAGTCAGGGAGGTTTCATATATCAGACGTAATTAAAAACACAAACGTGCAGAGATGCCTGTTTATGAATTTGTTCATTTTCATGCATGTGATACTCTTGTCTTTTTCTTTTGCCTTTTTCACAGTGTAATGTCCAGCACTGTGGTTCCCTCGAGCAGGGCCACCTCTGTGTTCCAGCTCTCCTCTTCCCGTTTCTCTGGCCTGGCTGAGCTCCTTAAGAGAGCCAGGTTTTGGTCTCCAGGCTCAGGGGAGGTGAGCTGGCTGGGGTGATGGTTTTTGATCCTCACACCAGACGCTGTCTCACCTCCACAGCAGACAGGCTTTTTATTCAGTGACGCCTGAAATTAGATGGTGCACTTTTTTTTAGAGGGATGGAAATGTTGTGGTGGAACTGGCATCCGTGTTGTCCCTGCCAATCACTGAAGCTACGGTGGCATCTGGACATGGACGCCGTGAACCTCTGAACAAAAATGACTTTTGTCTGTGCATGCAAAATTTTGTTCATTCCACCCAATTTCCGCAATATGTTTCTGCACGTGCACTGTTGTGCAGCAAGTCATGCATGAGGGAATGCTTTATCTGTGACACAATTGCAGCTCTTCCAGAATTAATTCACCCCTGCCAAAACCAACATATGCTCTTGTCTTGTACAGTGATTCTGCATATGTCCAAGCTGTTGTTGTTAAACGTCTTTATCAGGGATGAAGGATCTGTATAGTGAGGTCATGTGTGCATCTGCAAACTGCAAAGAAAACACAAAAGAGCAGAGATGTGCAGTTTGTCACTTACTTATTCATACTTAACTGACTGTACAGTTATACACAATGGAACTGGACTCTTTCTTTCTCTCTTTCATTCTTTCTTTCATCACATACTCTCCATCTCCCTCCTCTCTCTCTCTTTCTATCCCTCTCCCCTTCTCCCTGAGCGACTCCCCTATCCCTTTTCTCTCTCACCCCCTCTCTCCTTTCAGTGCTGCAGCCCACCCTGCTTTGAGCTTTAATGGTACATGCCATTAGAAAGCCCATCTCTGAAAGGGAGGAGGGGAGGGTGGTCTCAATCTCAGCTAAGAGGCTACTTTAGTCCCCCCCCCCCCAACCCCA